CCCTCCCCTCCCCTCCCCTCCCCTCCTGTCTGGGACCTCAGTGCTTCCCCGACTATTCTCTTTAGCTCATTGAAGTCCGCCTTCCTGAAATCTAGGGCTGCTGCCTTGCTGTCGGCCTTTGCCACCTTGTACTGAATGGTGAATTCCAGCAGGTGATGATCGCTGTCGCCCAGGTGGTCGAGCACCCGCAGCCCCCTCACCAGGTCGTCACCTGTGGCCAGCACCAGGTCCAACAAGGCATCTCCCTTGATCTTAAGAAGCATGTATTAAAATAATATTGATCTGCATGTATGTAGGCAGTACTCATTTAATTGGTAATATTGTATTGAACCTTTGACTTCATTTATACAGCATGATACAAAAACATATTTTATGCTGCAACAGGTTCTCAAGTTGTAACTTATGGTGAGTGTGTATATAATGTATATTATCTAATCAGATAAAGATCCCAAGCAGGCTTACAGGCTGTCCTGCATGTTCAACTAGTTACATTGTAAAGTTATATTTTTCCTTCAGAACCTCTCTTTTCCACAGTTGCAACTGAGGCTATGCACAAATGTACTTTTGAAGCACTCCAAACTCAGCTCTAATTTGGAGCGCTTCCCATTTGGAGCATTTCAGTGTAAGTGCAGATGTGCAGCCTGTAGCCATATCCCTCTGCCAGAGTTAACTTCAAATTAACTGTGGCAGTGTGCAGTGGCAATGCTCTTTAGCTTGGGGTGTGATAAGGTGATGATGCTCGTTGTCCTGGCATCCCAAAGTGCTCTGTTGCCCCACAAGCCCTCTATAGCAGGGAGTGTACCCCTCTTCCTTGGATCTCTCAAGTGTATTTTAACAACTCTTGCAGCACCAGGACACTGACCACCATTGTCCCCCCGCTTTACCCGTATGAGGTTAGGATGCTGTGTTTTGTGGATGTGTGACAGGGTTGACTGTGTAGGTTAGACATGGATTTGTATGGGATAGTTTGGATAGGGATGATCCTGCCTTAAGCAGGAGGTTGGG